TATATATATATATATATATATATATGCTAGATTATATTGATTAGCCACGTTGGATATATTTTTCTGATTTCTCAGGTGCTCATTTGTAGACCTCACTATTATAGTTAAATACACAAATATCTGACGGGGCTAATTGCTGGTTCTCTCCCTTTGTATCAATGGCAGCAATTCCTTTTTGTCTATGTTTATTTGCTTTATTATTTACTTATTATTAATTATTATTAATTATTAGTTATTTATTATTTATCCATTATTATAATGGAGGAGTATTTATAGAGGAAAGAATAAGCTACAGTTACTGTACACTGTTACAGTTCGGTAGGTGGCTCGACTTTAGCCACCAGCTGCTGCCACTTTCGCAGCTGCAGCAGAGGCAGGAGCGGAGCTGCGGCAGACGCATCAACTGCAGCGGATGCAGCAGCGGCTGCAGCAACAGCCAAGATGACAATGCCTTAGTGCAGCAGCAGACCAAGGAATACAGCAACAGCAAGAAGGATAGGAGAGGAAGAAGACACGGAAGCGCCGTTCTCTAAAACTGTCTTCCATTCACTCTCCCTATAAACATAAAAACAAACAAGGTAAGCGACAATAACTCTCTGTAGCATCCAATGCAGCAGCAGCTGCTGTTGTGCTGCTGCATGCAAGCAACAATAATAGCCGAAAGGGCAGGACAGCAACCTCAGTAGCAACAACTGCAGCAGCATCGGTAACGGCACCACCACCAACAGCCATTACAGCAACATCTGCAGGAGGCCACAATAGCAACAGCAGCAGCAGCAACAACAGCAACAGCAGCAGCAACAACAGCAGCAAGTGTATAATTTACTGGAAAGGTGCAACTCCTTTAGCGAGTGTTTTAGGTTTGAATATACAAACAAGAGCATTAAAAGACTCTTCTTCTGTTACTCCTTCTCCTCCTTCCGCTAATCGACGAACTCTAATTCCTCCTCCTACCCCTGCTGCTCCTTCTGCTGCTGCTGCTGCTGGCGACGCTGCTGGTGATGCTGCTGGTGGTGCTACACCTCATACTTCTCCTTCCGGTAATCCTGATTCAATTTGTATTGAATGTTCGTCTTCCTTCTTTTTCGAGAGTGTTTCTGCTTGCTGTTGGTGACTTTCTTGCCCTTGCCCTGTACCAGCATTGCCCTGGCTGCCACTGCCACTGCCGCCCGCAGTGCCTGACTGTGCGCCACCTCCTCCGTTTGCTGTGCCGCCTGTTGTGCTTTCTGTGCCACTTCCACTGACTGGGGGGCTGGTGGGGTTTTGCTGGTCTTTGTTGCTGCTCTGGCCGTTGTTGTTTTCACTATTTTGGTTGTCACCTGCTGAAGAGCTTTCTGCTGGACATTGTATGACAGTGCATGTAACGGCTACTCCCTCTTTAGGTGTATAAAGACTCATTAACGATACAACACCAAGATTGTTGTATATGCCCTCTCCGGGTGTATAGGCAGGGGGTAAAGAATCTCCCATTGCCTTTAATACTCCTTTCCATTGCTTTGTTGCTGCGGCACAATCGCCTTCTGTTGAGCTTTGAATTGCTGCTGCTATAGATATGTCAGTGTCTCCTATCAACACCCCAGGATCTCCATTCTACAAGGGAACCAACAAAAAAAGAGAGAACTATTCAAAATGATCAACAGCGGCAGCAGCTGCTGCAGCTGCGGGTGGTGGTGCAGAAACAGTGTCCAGTACAAGAGAGCAGCAGGAAGCAACAATGGGGCTTTAAACCATGCCCAAAAGACAAGAAACGGAAGCAAAACGGAAAGCCAGACAACTGAAAAACATACTACGCAATATGAGGATCGACCGCCAGGTGTGCGGTGGCTGTGCTGTGCCGGGGGTTGATGAATAGTGAATCTTACCGCTTTTATAGTTTCACAAAGCTTAGATGTATTAACCGTATTCTCTGCCTCAGCACCTGTCTTTGTATCAAGAACAGTGAACTTAGGAAACCCCATAGGTTCTCTCTCCTTGTTCATCTGCTCCGAGCAGTCGACGGCCGCTGCGGACAAGCAGAAAGGACCATAAGGAATGCCTACTTTTCCTCATCTTCTCGCCACACTAGAACCTTTTGAAAAGAAGAACATTGGTCATAAACACTTACAAAATGCCTTATTGG